GTAATTTTTTTAAAGATAAGAAACAAATATTAGAATTTATGAGTGTATCACGTATCATTGCTGCATTGTTAAATGTCACAACATATAGACTATGGTGTACACGAATCAAAGCCCCGATGATAGGACTTTCCGAGAGAGTTTGTGAAGGCGAGTTTATTCAAAAAATTTCATAGGTGAAAAGATACCTTCGAATCCCATCAGTATGATGGGAAGGTTTAAAAAATATATTTAATAAAAAGCTTTCGCTCGTAGTAGGTTTGCATGCGTGAAAAATATTATTTTTTACTTGCTAACAACTACCTCGATGATGGGATTTGCTTGTTAAACTTGTGAAGGTGAGTTTCCTTGGTAATTTCCTAAGTGGGAGGATATTCCCGGATTCCACCTGTATGATGAGCGGATACGAGAAAATATCTTCAATAAAGGTTTTGTTTGGCATTACTTGGATTTTTTGCTATGCATTTCATAATCGTATCATGTACACGTCACATTAGTAAAATCAAATAGAATATTTTAATTTGTTAATAAAATAAAAAATAAATTAAATAAATAATAATTAAAAAGCACAAGTATAAAATTATTGAGTTAGGATAATGTATGATTAAATGGTACTGTTTGTGGAGTAGGTGTCATAGGGGTGCTAATCCTTCCCTGTGTGTAATCGTACTCTCAAACCTAATTTTAAATAAAATACGTAGACCAGTTTATTATTTTTTGAACGAACCTAAAATTGATTTAGAACTCCGTCTAGTAAAATAAATGTAATAGGTGTCCAATCCCATATAAATAAAATAGATTAATGATTACTCTCTAAACAACCCAAGTCTAGCAATCGGATTCTCAAACCCGACATGTTACAATATAATGAGCTTGATGAGTTGCGTCGTTATCTTAATCATGTTTCTTCCTCTCATATCTTGCGGGTAGGTAACATAATAGACCTTTCGTATATCTCAAGTTACGTAGTAAGCTTCCTTTTTTGTTTTTTGAAAGGTAAAAGTTCATTTATTAATGAAACAGGGGAACAAACATTTCTCGGAAGGAACAACCAAAAATCTGCAGCAACCCACATGCAGAACAAAAAATAAAGAAAATACAAACCGTACTCAACTTCAGCCAGAACAAAACCAAAACAACAGATCAACAAGACAAATGAGATAAAGACCAAACTCAGACTTAATATTGTAGTTGGAAGGAGACACGAATCAAGATGGTGTTAACTATGATCTGATGCAGGGGCAATTGCAAAGCATTGCAGAATCAATTTCTAACTAATTTTTCCCGCAGCTGGTATCCTAAAGTATGCTTCAACAGTAATTTCAAACAACAGATTCCGTTTTGGAACAGCCAGAAGAAGAAGACAAAAAAAAAAAAAGGATTAGCAGTTATGGAACATTAAGAAGCTGTGTAAAACTAGTTCATATCTTGTGA